AATTTTGTCATGCTCTTACATATCCAATGTTCTTTATTTAAAAAATTATAATAATATATATTTACTATTTCAAATATATTATTACAATGGATATTTATAAGAAAAAAAATTAAAGAAGCTATCCTACTGTTGTTTTGAAATTACAAGCTGTTTACAGATTTTAGTTATATATGTACAATTATTTTAATTAATTTGGAAAATAATTTTGTTTCGTTTTACAGAATTGGTTTGCCAAAACACCTCTGGCAAAGAAACGAAAGAAAATGTTTGCACCTCAGGAAAAAAAGACCAAAAAGAAATAATTAAAAAATCAAAACTAATATTATATGTATTTTATTAATCTTATTCAATATTAAAATATTTATTACTTTGAACAATTGAATAATTCTAATGCCTGTTAACTATTAAATAATTCATGTTGTAATTTCTAATGCACACATTTTATATGTAAAACTTTTATCATATTATGTGACTTATCACAAACATTTTAAATCAATTTTCAAATTGAATATCTTCAATAATCATATAAATGTTCTTACATTTTATAAAAATTATGGACAGCAACCTATTGAAGAGCAAGTTTTAATCTATACTAATATTATAAAGTAGTTTGTATGTAGGGGTAATCTCCGAAACTACTCATCCAATTTCAAAAATTCTTTCACCAATATTTAGAATGGAACTTTAGGGGGGACATAGGCTGTATATTATTCTGTTAAACATTCATATAAATTAAAAGATATCATCTAGGGTTAAGGCTTTTATATCCAACAGATGGTGCTACGAGTACGCCGACCTAAGTTTGCTTTTCTGTGAGGATGAACTAAAGCAGATCATCTTCTATCTACCTACATAAATAAAAATGTAATGTTCATTTGTTCCTACCGATTCCTTTGAAATTTTGACACAATGCTGCATTTGAATACACATGTGTTTTTATATAATATACATGTTGAAATTCCCCCCACTGGGGAAAGATGGACAGGATTAAGGCTTACCATAAAGAACTATGCTTCGATTTATACTATTTTAGATGCGTTTTTGATTGCGTTTTAATAAGGTACGTCAACAGAATGTACACCAGTGTTTCCCAATGTGGGGCCCATGCCCCACATGGGGGCTATTCGAAAATGGACTCGCCCAGAGTTTAAGTTAACCGTATAGCCACTTTATATGTTAGGGGGGGGGCATAAGAATATTAGAAAGACTTAGGTGGAGCATAGCACAAAAAAGGTTGGGAAACACTGATGTACACTAAGAAGAGATTTTTCAAAAAATTCCCCCCACAGGGGAAGTGTTATACATTTATAATAGATACATTTTGAGCCACAACAACGTGTGGCAGGGTCTGCTAGTATTCAATAATCTAGAATAGCACATTTGATTTTTGGGCATTCATTGTTGCATACATCAAGTGGCAAATATAAATAGAATCAAATTCAACATACTAGATGTTTGTAATTAATGTACTCCTATTCAACACTGTCTACAGAAATATCAGTGTGATTCAAGTTTCTGAATACTGACAACACTTTTGTGAAAAAAATCTCTAGCACTGGCAAAACTGCTGTGAATGCAAATGAGCTGGTATTTGCATCATCATCAAAGTACATGCTATCATTTTATAGAGCTGTTGAGTTCATTCCTTTGGTGAATTTTTTCCATAATAAAGAATGACTGATGAAAAAACTTATCATTTAAGGCATGTTGCATCATTACTGCAGACAAGAAGGGTACAGTGCAAGGGTAGCAGCAGAGAAAATTTGCAAAATTGAAGGACCAGACCTAATGAACAAGACAACTGCAGCCAAATAGAACACCAGCCTCATAGACAAGCCTTGATCTAGATGACTATTGATGGAATTTGGATGGTCCAGTAGATTGGAAACTGGTTTCTAATGGCCAGGCTGTGGATGGCAACCTCTATGCTGAGCAGCTGGGAAGAGTGTTTGAAGTCCTGCATACTCACTATTCTGTATTGCTTAATTGAAAGCGTACACTGCTGTAGCCTGATAATGTTCTGGCACACCATTACAGAGTGGTCTAAAAAAAGATATAGTAGTAAAGTTTTGCCTTACCCAGCATACAGCTCTGATCTTGCTCCATCAGATTTTTACTTCTTCTGATTGTTGGCACATTTTTTGTGAAGACCTTCCTTTAATACAGTGCATGATGTCAAACGAGGTTCATGAGTTTTGGCATCAAAACCAGCTAAGTGGTATTGCCAAGGAATCCACCAATTTACAAAAAGACAATTGTTAGCAATGGTTTTGACCCATCTTTCTTTCAAGGATGATCATGTCTTTGTGTTTTAATATCAATAAAGTTTTGTATCTTGTCTGTGACCAGAAACTTTTCAATCAACATGATATTTAGCAGTCCAAATGCAATCAGATTTGGTATGGTGATATTCCAGGACATGCAGAAGATATTTCTATTAAAAATAGTAGTACTGTATATTCACATTATATTAAAAGAGTAGAGAGGTTGTCTGTATGTGCACAGACTTTACCTCTAAGAAATTAGAAGAGGAAGTGATAGTAAGTAGGGAGGGAAAGATTGAAGGGAAGTATGGGATCACTGGGCATCTGCATCACATTTATTGAACAAGTAAAAATACAATTACAAGACAAAATATGTACAGTGATACAGTATAAAAACAAACATGACAAGTTTGCATGTGTAGGCAAGTGTGTACAGCAAAGGGGGTACCAGACATAATGGTTTAACATTTACATAGTATGTGATTTGTGACTGCTTTATATAAATAATTTATACAAATACCAACTCTCATTATAGAAGCGGAGCAGTATTATATAAAGTTAGATATAGAACAAAATATGAATATCAGTTATTGACTGTATATTCACAAAATGACTGGCATACCGGTCTATCTGGGGAGACCATGAAATCAGATATTTCCATATGGTAAAAACTGACATGCCGGTTTATCCTGGGGAAATGTAAAGTTCGTTTTTTTGTAACAAAGGTCCTGACTTTTCTGAAATTCTTGTCTTTTTGCCATAAAGTCATGTAGTTTCATTTGTCACTTTCTTTTTCTTTCCTTAAGCAAATGTTGGTATCAGGAGATCACATCCAAAATGCCTTGTCTTGCTTACACTCTTTTCAAAATCTGGATCATTCGTTACAATTTGATCAATGATTTCAGTTATCGTTACCAAACTTTTACTAATTAAATCTGTAGAAATTCTTTGGTTCTTTGTTTTCAGAATCACTATTTTCCAGTTCTACACAAATTCCTTGTTCTGCCAGTTCTTGAAGATCATCATTGGTAAGGCTCTCACCAGAAATTTGCAGTACCTTCTCAATATCCTGCTTGTCTATATCTCCTAGTCCATTATACGGGACTAGGAGATATTATAACAGGACTAGGAGACCCAATCAATATAAAGGGAATAGGAGACCCAATCAATATAAAGGGAATAGGAGACCCGTTATATTGATTAGGTTGACTTTGTCAACCTAATCAATACAGCGATAGGTTCTTCTCATTGAGAATTCTTAGCTACCTCCAGCCATAACTTCTTCCACACTCTGTTCATGCATTTATCAGTTAATTCTTGTCAAGCANTGTAAATATATTTTAATCTTTTTCTACCAGTCTGATCCAAAACAGCTAAAAAAACATTTGATAAGCTTTGTAAAATCAATTAAACCTTCAGATCGTATTTTATTATGTGGTATTACTGATGCACCATTTAATGTAAGTGATATGAAGGGATTAAATGCTACTTATCAGAAAATCATTTATGTTCCACCTCCAGAATTTGGAAGTCGACAAAGTAAGTAGAAATAAATATTTAACAATAAAATCGATATTTATAAAAAATATACAGATTTATGTGGAAAGCAAATTAAAAAGGGCCATTTATCATAAATGCAAAAATCTAACGATAATTTTTGTCATTCAAAACTAATTTTTGTACAGTACAGCTGTCTGTCTGTCAATAATCTTCATTACTTAACCTGGTACCACCTGACATAATCAAGCAACAACTTACAGAGAAAGATTACATTGATGTTACATGCTGATAACTATTACAGTTTTTTCAGGAGACAAATGTTGGTAAAATAATAAAATTGAAAAAATGAAATAAAAATAAAATAAATATGCGCATATATACATAAACAGAAATGAACAGCATTGTAATGTTATACAGTATTATGGTTCTAACTAGGGCAGTCTTTAATTTGTAGAATAAATGAAGGCAGTCTTTAATTTGCACCAAAAGTCTTGGTTCACAGATAGACAGTGAAGCACAAGATACCAACTGTAGGCTAATGAATATCACTTCTTTTTATAAGCTCTTTAATAAGCTCTTTGAAGAGGCTAAGATTGTCTTTATTATGAACAAGGAATTCTGGGTTTGCTAGCCAGACCATATTGTTTAGATTCACTTGATGCCTCCAGTGATGCCTAATATCCTCAAGCATGGGGCAACTGTAAAGGTAGTGTAAAACACCATCCTGGATACCACAAAGATTACTGTAATCATTATCTAGGAGATGGAATCTCTTAAGATAACTGAACACAGACACTTGTGTGTAAGAATTGTGTCAGTTCATGACTGGGCTGAATCCATTTATGTATATGGTTCTGGACACTTGGAAAGAATCTTTTTATAATATGCTGCCACAGAACTTTATCCCAATCTGACTGCCCTGCTTCAATGGCTTCATTCCAAATGAGCAGTTTGAGTCTTGATTTAAGGACTTAGGGATGCAGTCATATTCTGGATGATCGGTATGGTTCAATGTTGCACTGCGTAATAGGGAGTCAGCTCTTTCATTTCCTGAAGTGCCCTGGTGCCCCATGATCCAATTAATGGCGTAACTGTTTGATGATGATGCAGCCTCACTGAAAATATTGGAAGTAGCATTGGTAGTGTCCTTGTTTCTCAGTTTGGCAGCAGTAGCCGCACTGTCAGTGTAGATGTTAATAGACATATTGACAAAGTTGTGTTACACCACTTGATGGCCATCAATATTGCAAAAATTTTGGCATGAATAACGGAAAAACCATTTTTTGGTAAATTCATTTTTTTGGAAACAGCTTTGTAGTTTTTAAGCATGTTCTTGTGTAGTTGCATGTCTATAATGAGAAGGAACTTTCAGAATGCTATCCATATGCTTTTGAATTCTTTTTCATGCTTCCTCAACTAATTTTGCAGGGAATCTAGTTAATCCAACTTCTTTTTCAAATGAAAGTAATTAATTCTTTGTTGACTGATCAAAGTGGCCAAATAAAATTCTTTGTAGACAAGTACTTTATCATCACTGATCACAAAATAGTAAGCATATGTCGTAGTCTCTCAGAACCAACATTCTCTTGTTGAGCTCCCTGTTTTACATGTCTTTCTATTGTCTTGTCATAGAAATTCTTTTCACTGTCAGAAAGTTTCCAAAATTCCTGGAATATTACCTTTGACTGTTCTGATGATATATTCTCTCTATATAAGTAATGGTGGTTCCAAAGACAATCTTTACAATATTTTTGTTCTCATGTAGGAATGAGGACACTGTGAGAGTTAAAGTATTCTTCCCAATGTTGATGCTTTGCTTTCCTGACAGACACCTTCCATAATTCTTTCTGAACTTTTCATTTTCTGCCTCATGATTCTGGAAAAAGCAAAACAGAATCTAGGCATACTGCCCCATATAAGGAGTACACAATGTACTGTATCCATATTGGTGACAGCATCAGTAGCTGTTTTAGACGGACAAGCATCAGTAAAAGTGACAGTATGATCTCTGAACTGTTATGTTATAGTATATTTTTATACAGACTAACAAAACAGATTTTTTTTTACAATACTGTGCATACCTGTTCACCTTGCTTTCATCATCAGAATAAATGGCATCTCCCACCCACTGGATTTTCACACTCCCTTTCCTGTTATAAAAAAGCTTGCTCATTTTTTTCAACACACAATAGCAACACTTGTAAACTACAAACTTGCAATGCACTTTCAAACATGTCCCAAAAGTGTGCCTATCAATAAAAGATATCTCATTGGTCAGTGGAGATTGAATAATATAGAACACTGATTCAGAATGGAATCAGAGTTAGAACAAAATAAAATAACATTATTTTTCCTCAAAGGTAAATATGATATTATTATTTCAATTATACAGAAATGTAGAGCAATGGCATAACACAATGACATAAAAAACAAATTTTACATAAAGTGGAATTAAAGCACACTGGTACTAGGGGAGTGATGTCATTACTATGTGGCTAATAAGAATCATGATGCAATATGAAAGTACTGACAATATTTCATGTCTGAGAATATCCCAGTCTCTCCTATAAATTATTGATATATTGTATTACATATTATTAAAAATATTCTATAATAAATTTTTTAATTAATGTGAAATAAAATTTAATTATGATAATAATATTTTCAGTTATTTGGAAGAATTTAATTCTTCAAGCAAAGGGTGAAATAACTCCACAGCTGCACTTACCAACTCTTTCTAAAATTTCTGATGGATACACAGGAAGTCAAATAAAATTAGCTGTTCAAAAGGTAAATAACTGTTATATGAAAATTTATATATTGATATGCATAAGATTAAAAAACATTGGCTGGACGTTTTCTTACTAATATTTTGATTGTTTAAATACTAAACTGTTGTGTATTTAACTAAATTTTTAAGACAGAGAAAATATTTTCACCATCTTAAGATTTTACTTTTAGAGTTTTTTTAAAGTTGATGGGGAAAAGTTGTTTTTTTGTTCTCAGTTCAGTTTATTCTCATTCTTTTGTAATGACAGTTTTTCTGCCTAAAAGATTTCATTTCTTACACAAAAGTCATCATAAACACTAAAAATGAATGCTGATTTAAAATACCTTTTTTATTATATTACTAGCTTACCCGTCGCGCATTGCTGCGATCTCAGAAGAAAGGAAATTCAAGCAAACTCGTTATGATAAAATTCAATTTACATTTTATCATTTTCATTGAAACTTTTATTATTATTCATTTTCATCAGGAAAACATTTCAATTTAACCCACACACTCGCAGCGATTGTTAGAAGTGCGATGTTCCCCATTTTTATATATATATTTTTTAATCCTTTATAATTTTAATTATTTAATTGCTCCTTCCTCTCTTCCTTGGCATGTTGTGAAATTTCTGATAGTTGGATAATAAACCGTTTTATTGTAATTTGTCTTTTTAAATTATTTTGAGTTGATATTAAAATTTG